CGGGCAACTCTAGGCTTAGGTCAAGACTGCGAGCGGGGTAAGGCCGTTGTGGCGACAGGTGTCTTTTAGTAGGAGTGAGTCTTGAATTCACGTAGCGTTGCGGCCCCCCGCAACCGGCAGACTCCGTTACGATATAACGGAAACTTCTTAGTCTGCAGCATGCAGGCTGTAGCCAGCTACGAACGGAGAACTGTAAAAAATGGCGAGCCCCCCCCCGCTTGCGCTATACGCGTCCGCATTCGCAAATATACAACCTGTGGCATTTTGCCCCTAGCCATCGCTGCTGCGAGTTTTTCTCTACTTTGAATTGAATCAAAATGGCAAGCACGTACTTAAAGAACTTGGAATTGTTTTGGCGAAGGAAAAATGTAAGCGCGAGCAAAAATGAAGAAGACCCGAGATAAGCTAAATTAAAAGCTTTCCGGCATCTTAACGTTGTTGTAAAAATTCCAATAAAATAGGCAAAAGCTTTAAGAGGTAGAATATTCCAGAAAGAAAAACGGGCGGCATGCGTGGCAGTGTACGTGTCGGAGAACAACCGGAAAGGCACCGTACTTCTGACAGTACAGACTATACGAAAGTTCTAGACCATTAGTTATTTTGTGCGTTACGTTTTATACCTTTGTTTTTCATTCACGTCTCACTCTGTTTTCTTTCTAGCTTTGAATAATGCATTTTTCAAAGAACGAGGTAGCACCGAATTGCGAAAAACGTGAACTTTCAGGCCTGAGTGGGACTGGTTGGTTATCAGAACCAGCAAATCATCCTATCTGTTTCATCCGTTTTCACTGTCGATCGATCGCTATCGTCTGATTGTTTTATACGGTCAACATGAATGATGGCGACACCCACGTGTTACGCAACACACACTCAATCTATAGAGGACCGGACGCCTTCAGACGGCTTACACTTACCCAGATTACGTGACTGGCACGCGGTGCATTCTGTTGAAGGTGCTTCATCAATTGAGAACCCATCTTTGCCAAAATGGGAACGAGGAGGTGAAAAGATTGAGGCGTTAGTGTTCCCTACTCCTCGGGATCATCGCGCCTAATTCCAGCAGACTCAAAGGGCATGAAAGAGATGGTAGGAGGGGGGGGGGACAGAGAAAGAGGGAAAGAATAAGATGGACGGAGCTCGACGTTCTCCGATAAGGTGACCGAGTAAATAGGACTATGTGCGCGAGCGCGACGGAATGTCTAAGATAAAAGAACAATCAGACAGGAAGCCTAGAGTTTCAGTAGGGTTTCAGGTCCTGGCGCTCCCTATTCATACTAGCATTAAGCATAATCTTTACAGGAGAATATCTAGGTTGCTGACCGGGACTTGGACGGTGCAACCCAACAGCGACTATTCAAACAGGACATAATACGGGCAGTGCATTATGGTAATAGCCAGGCCTTTGGATGTGGTTCGTAAGTTGATTCGCTGATTCAATCGCTGGATTAGGCAAGAGGTTGACTGCTTGTTGGCATTTCACCCATAATGAATAGGACATGACAGCAATGTGCACAATATAACCTATTCTGTAATTGGGTTGCTGAACGCTAAGAAAAAATGGGCTCACCGTTGCTTGGTCACGAAGTTCGTCTGCTTCAAAACGAAAACTGTGTTTTCTTTGCGCATGCTTGTCGTTAGTATAACATAGCACAAAGAGAAAAGCTGGCTGTAACTAATACCACATTAAAAATTAGTTAACATACAGTACAATATTTATTGTGGCGGATCACATAATTATTGCATTAAAGCGACAATGGACTTTACTGAAGATGATTCAACGTCAGGTAGTTATATAAAACAATGTAGCGCGTTCTTACAATACTTGACCTTTACATAATAAATTTGGCTTTAAGGATAGATGTAAATGTTCGGAAATTAGCGTATTTTTTCGATGCTAGAGTCCGCGCGACCCACGTACAGAGCTGCTATTTGTCATACCAAAAATAGGGTGACTGTCTTCGTCTTAAGAACTCCTTATGTACAAAACATTCTGATGTTTTACCTCAGTGCTGTAACACGGTGGATCTCTTGGTTAGTAGAATCTCGGCACTAATTTCTAAGCCTATCATACCACTGGCCGGCGTCTCGTATTGAGAGGTCTACTATATGCTACCCTTAGACCCCACTCAGTGCTGCAACTTTGACTTCGGCCGTTGGCCTCATCGGAGCCCACTGGTTTTAGCTTCAGTTGGCCCCCTTTTCCCGTGGTAACTCTTGCCTGCCACATCGTTAGTTTGGGTTCCCTGTAGGACCAGGAAGGCACATTAAGAAGCAACGTCAGGAAAAGTAGCAGTAAGAACGGTTGGGAACCACAAGATGGCGTAGTGGTGACGGCAGGAGCAGTTACAGGAGCAACTATAAGCCAGCACAACTAACACAACCTCGCTGCTCAATTGCCCGGTTGAACAGCCGACATCAGCTTCGTTGAACCATGCGTCCGTTTTGTGGCAGGATAGTTTCGTCCGAGTCAAACGACCCCTAGAAGGAGCCAGAGCTCCTTCTGTTAGGCCAATAGATGTCAAATGAAAGCCTTCGTAATTTGCGCGTAGCAGTTCGATGCTAGCGGACTCCGCCCGGCCGCAGTATAGAATACCAGTTTCTTTTCTGCCACTCCGAAACATCTCTTTTCACCCACAGGGCAGCAGCCCAGGGCATTCGGATAGGCACTCGGCCATCACTCCACTGGACTTCACCGTTTTGCCGGCACTACTCCTTAAAGTCTCATAGTTGTTCTTCTGACAACCGTTGGTTCTTGCAGTTCGGCCGCTAGATCTGTGAGGGTGCGACATATGTTGGATATTGACTTCGGATGGATCATCGCTACTAACATAGGCTTGCCATCACTACCGTTTCCGAAAGCGGTGATTTCGAAGTGGCCTTAGGCCGGGCTGAGCCAAACCACGTACAGTCAGAGCCAAAGCACGACTGGCTGTAGAACAACATGAGTAGTAACATGGCGCCAGAGTGTGTTTTTAGGTAAGGCCGATGCTATCATGGATAAATAGCAAGCTCTGGAAACGGCTGAGACCGTAGCCACAGCTAAGCAATAGCAGATAAAGTTAGAAAAAGCAGAGCTACAACTGCCGTAGTAGCAGCTGGCAATAGACAACAAACAAACCTATTGTTGTTTTTCCTTTGAGGGCCCTTTTTGTCTGTAGTATTGCTGTGGGCCTGCAAAACGCCACCATAGAAGCGTAGTAAACCAAAAGCAAGAGCAGGGCGCATTGGATTTCCTATTGTCCTTATTGCTGTTACTGGGCAGCTGATTGCTTAGGTCTTCATCCTCCGTAGGACCAACGCGTGCGGAAAAGAAAGAACGCAAAATAGATAAAATCACTCGTATAACGTCTGCCGTCTGCTATTACCCCAGGCTGCGTTGTTCGCCTCGACTGATTCCTTTTTCCTTTCTCTTTGCCTCCCGTCTCTCTGCATCCCAGAAGTGATGACACTTACGTCGCCTGCGACGCTATCTAAATCATCCCACCAGCACGTTAACCGGAATAAGGCTTTGCGGCGGCGTTATTGTTGTTGCTGCTGCTAAAGCTGTTACGCTTAGCAATGTACAATACCCCACGAGTTGTATACCCCATATATTTTATTCTCCTTTGTTTGCTTGTCCGACTTTCTAGTTCCTCGTTTCTGCAGTTAGGCACTTTTTTGCACAGAAGCGAACATCTGTTCTTCGTTTTTCATTTTCCTTCGCTTTTTTGCTTGTTTTCCTTTGGTTTGCTTGTTTTGGAACTAATTAGACCGATGAACGACCACTGTTTGTTGCCTTTTTCGGATTTTTCAGACGTCGGGAAGGAACACTTTACACTCGCTTTCTCTCGTTGTGATCGTCGTACATTTGTATTGTTCTGACCGTTCAATGCCATCGGTGTTGGCTTAGGAGCGACTATTCCTGCGTTCGACGATGCTGTCCAGTGACGCCGCAAATGATTGCCAATGGTACAGCAGCTTTTACCCCCCATAGACCCTTAGGTGATTTGAGCTACTCGCATAAGTTTGCGCCTGGTCTATCGCTTCTGCATTCTAAATATGAATATTATATGAGCCAGACGCCAAGATTCTTCTACCCGATCCCCTCGTCCGCCGGCATTTGATGTATTGTATTGCGGCCCACTTGTTCGCCGTCCCTCTCATCCGTTAATCGTTCCTCGATAGAATTTCTCTAGTGTTTACCACTTGAACGAGGTGTTGAAGCAGCAACGAAGGTCGTCTGTGGGCTCTCTAACCTGTATCTCCCGTCCGCCTAAACCGTTTGGCCCGTTGAGCTAGCTACAGGAACTTCTAGCTAGGCCACTTTTCCTGCTCAACTAGACAGCAGCGCTAATACATAAACGAGTGTGTTTCAATGGGACTTTATTTAGCAAAAAGTATGAATGATTGGCGGATTGCACCAGCAGGATCAAGCTTCGGCTTTGCACATCGGATGCTGTGAAGAACGAGATAGGTGCCACCTAACGCTGCGCCTATATTGCGCTTTTGGAAGCTTATTTTATCTTTCGAGTTGCAGTTACGGTCGCTGTCGACCTTCGTCTGCATTTAATTTTTATCATTAACGGCTTTAGTTATGAATTAATACAAAGTCATGTGAATCGTATAACGTATTATAACACTGATTCACTTGGTTACCCAATGAACATCGTAAGAAGTTAGTCTGAACCGCGTTTTGCTTGTTCAACCCCATGGCCACAGCCTCGAGTGACTTGTGGCGAATTACTTGTGTATTTACCCTTTACAGACAAAAAAGAATGGAAGACGAATTGGCCCATTAGACCCATGGAGCAGTTAAACATACATAAGATGAGTATCATGGAAATGGACGCAAAGCTCTCTTGGGATGTAGAACTGCTTTTATGGTCTTTTTTTGCACTGGACGTTACTTATTCATTTAAGTATACTGTTTGAGTGTAGAATATCAAGTTTTTCCATGCATCGAATTGTTTAGAAAGCGGTCCCCGCTGGTTATGCTAGCCAGATTCCAACAGCATAAAAGATATAACATATTCACTGCAGGTAGTATTTATGTGACTTCTTTGCGATCCCCAATTGACTGAGCAAACTATGCTCTAACGAATGAAATAATAGAGATCACCTTGAAAGTCTATAGAGTGAGACAATTGTCGCTTTAGAAGAACTTAAATCATAGTTGGGCTTTATTTTCGTTCATTGAAAAAAAAAGATACATTTGGAACTCGGCCGTACTCGGCTACAGATCATAATCGTTAACTGTACGGTATAACTTGTTTATATACTTTGTTTTATATGTTTATAGGTAGTTTTATAATATCTAGGTTTATATACTTAGTTTTGGAGCCACACTTCACTACCGTGGCCTAACTAATGGGTCGCTCTTTCAAGTTTTTTGCTTTTGATACTCTATATTATTCTAGACATAAGGTGCACTATGTTCATAAATTGGACTCACCGCAAAAGAGCGAACAATCATCTACGTTTCGCTTAAAAACAAACGGCCATATTTGTAGGCTACGAGAATCGCCAGGAGCTTCATCACTTCTATCGAGCGCGCAAGGAGTGTTCGGAGAATCGCCAGGAGCTTCATCACTTCTATCGAGCGCGCAAGGAGTGTTCGGAGAATCGCTAAGAATCGGCTCTCTGCTGGAACGAGATTCACGACCTGTGAAAGTACGAACTAATTTAGACGGCTCAGCGCTAGGATGACCCGACGTCGACTTGCTGCGGGAATCGGGACCAAATAGGCGAGCACGCGGTGTCTGCAGATATTTCGCTCGATAATTCTCGCCAATTCCCTGCAAAACAACGCTTAAAACTACTGGAAGTAACACTCGAAAGATGGAAGAAAGTTTAATTAAATAGACCGTATATATCCAGCATGTTTGATAGAATATATTACTTTTTACGTATTGCACGTGAGAAAACCTACCCTGGCACTCTTAATGGAGGGTTCTTGCTGTTAAACGCGGCGATCAGAATACTTATTGTTCTAGATAATGTATGTAGAAGGTCCTTCCAAAACAATGTGCTACAGTTGTGTGCAGCTTCTCTTTGGCAGACCAGATTGGCTGTTTTTTTGACATTTTTTTCCTGTCACTGGAGTTATCATATCATAGTAGTGTTTTTTGCCAAGCTTTTATCTTCTAACCTGGTACGCCTTTGCCGTGAAGCGGGTCTATTTAAAGGAAAAAAGGCAAATGAATGCAAGTAAAGCAGCTGCGGCAGCAGAAACCGACCCGTAGGACGGCAGCAAACTGGCAAGACGAAACACGACTAAAGGACTATATGAGCTCACACTCCAAATATTTGTCCTGTACGCTATTTTTCCATGCGTTCGCTCCAATAGGTCACTCGATTCTCTCGTGCGCTGCAAGACGAGCACGGTTGTCATGCAGACGAACTATATGCTCCTTTATAGTCTGTTATGCTCTGCTCTGTCTTTACGCCGTGGTACCCAGGTCTAACATGCTAGAAAAGGGGATGAGATACCGTTATTGCTTGCCGGCTTCGACTTGACAGCCGTCTTCCGTTCGCCATCGGCTGGTAAAAAACGCCTTCGAAAAGAAGCGTTCCTCTCCCTAGAAATGGGAGAAAAACTAGGTCGGTACCAAGTCCACGTTCAGTTGAACGATAAAGCGGGGCATCGTTTTTCGATTTAGTTAAACGAGCTTCCTAACATTTTGCCCCTATTCTCTCACAGGTCTTTACGCATGCTTAACTTCGCACACAATCTTCAATCTCATACGAAGGTTTGGCGCATTTGACTATGAAACCCGACCAGGCCCACAGCTCGAACCATTGCGGCTGTATATAGTTTGCTTTAATACTATTGCATATGTTCACAGGATTGCAGGTGTTTTTAGCCTTATAGCAAGTGCTTAGGAATGCTGTTATAGTTTGCTTCGAGACTAGTTTTAGCTACTGAATAAGCAGACACTGACGAACGCGTGTAAATAGAAAAAGTACGCATATCATCAATGTGTTATAAGATGCGTATAAATATATGATACCATTTAGTGTTTAAACTCGTTATACCTAACCAGCTAACAGGCAGAAATGTTAACGGTAGTGAGATCGTAGGTCCTCTGTTACCGCAACAGGTAATGTTAGGGAACTGACATTGAATTGTGAATTTAGTAGGCACTGAGACAGTACAATGACTCTAAGAAACTGGGTAGAAAGAAAAACTCTTTAGGTATTGTTTCATGTATGTTAAGTCACACTCGGCCCAAATATCGAAAGTTGAAGCTTTAAACCGCCCAATGTCGAGTATTCGTTGTGTTGGCCTCAGTAAATGGTGTTTAGTTTAAAGGTAATATCTGCGTCGGTAGTTGTGCTCGCAAGCATGCTCACACCGTATTGTTTCGTCTAATATGTCGATAGGAGTGGCTGCAAGCTGTCATTGAAGGGGGGTACACAATCTTCCGGCTTATGGCCGCTTGCTACAGCGTTGCAGCACCCGTGGCTAACTAAGTTCTGGATTGGCCCGTTGAAGGCGCCACTGTCGAGGGCCGTGACGAGCCCTCGGGGTCGGGGTGCTATAAAAGGTGACGCCGGAACGTGCGTCTGGGAGATCCTTGCGCACTCGAAGACTGAGGCGCTACAGCTGGTCTCCGGCCCTTCACGCGGCATGCTGCTAGACGAACGACGTTCGTCCAGTGTATAGTGTACAACATAAGCACCCCACTAACTACCGTTGATACCAATCAAGCCACTAAAGTTATTGCATAGTTATTTATCGTTTCTTTGAAGAGATAAAGGAAACTGTTAACGGAAGCATAGTTGTAATAGTTATATTCTAATTCTATTCCTGCTATTTGTCCCCAGCGGGAAGTAGTTCTAGTTAGTTAATGTAGTTCTATGAAATAGTCAGGCTGTGACCGAAGTCCATGTTCGTCTATATCATCAATCAGCATATATTGCAATCACCCATAGACAGAGGTGTAGTTCATCTATCTTTCTCGAACCGCCCCACGAAGACAGCGACAAGAGAAAGATTTCAGCCTGGTATGTTTTCTTAGCAATCGAAATAAACCGAGTGCGAGGCAAGTACTTGTTAGGTTGCTATATAATGTAGAAGTATCGGCAAAGAGACCCCGAAATCGAAACAGGGAACTAAGCAAAACGTTAAAGAAGAACACAGTCAACGGCAAGAAAAAAAAAAAAAGAAATAAATTAAGGTTAATACAAATGTACTGAGATTGTCGTCAGTTAATGATTCGTCACCTAATGTTGTGTGTGTTTCGTTGTTGATATAATCTATTACCACTGATTTAACAACAACTATTACTGCTGTGAAGATGAACTTTTCGCGAAGTAAGCATAAGAGTGTACAGAAGCCAAAGTGAGAAATAGGATTGTTGATATACGCTTTATGTCGTGTGATACGTCAGATCAGTGTTGCGGATCTGACACCTCGTCGCGGTCGATCCGTGCTAGTCCTGATGCGAAGTGTATAGCGGCGGTAGGAAACAGCGACGTCGAAGAAGGAACCCAAGAAAATTAAAGGATTTGAGTCTGAAGAGAATCATTTGGTCAGCTTCTAGAACAAGTCCGTCTAGGGCGTGGCGAGAACGGAAGGGTCTTAGCCGAAGTTCCGATCCGCTAAAACTCAGGTAGGTTAGAGTCACGACTGATTATGTATATTCGACACGTGGGGCGCCAGATTTAGTTCTTCGTAGTCGAAAACACGTGAAGAATGTTGTATTACATTTCACGCCCATTTATCTAGTTCCAATTTGACGAAGAATGCTTGTATTGCTAAACAGCGTGTATCTTGCTGACAGCGAGTGAAGGCCATTTAACTGGTTATCACCGCTCCTGTTCGATACTAAGACCATATGTATAACTGTTAGTGGGCCGTGTTGCTAACAATAGAGAGCAAGACAATGCACGTGTCGTTATAAACACGCGTCTGATAACATACGTGTTTTCAACGGATGACATTGAATCAGCGCTGATGACCCACTAAAGCAAATCATTTAATATGTGTTGTTGTTGTTGATTGCAACTAGTTGCGGCGTCATCGACGATGACGCTAGCGAAGACTTGCCGTAGCGAACATTGAGGGAAGCACATAGCACTAAAAAATCACACCGCAGATGTCGGACGAGCCAAACGCCATCGAGCTTACGCAGAACCACGCTGGTAGCATCAGCTCCCCAAGGAGCCTTTCTCGCGAAATCGAGAAGTCGACTCTCTCGACGAGAATTGCTCTAAGTTCTCGACTAAGATTGGTGGAAATGGAGTGCTAGAAACAGGCGCGAGTGGGTATAAACTGTGGGAAAAAAAGGGACTGAATAAAAGAAAGAAACGAGGCAAGAGGGAAGGAACCTTGGACTTTACGTTTCTCCATTTCGCCGCCCGACGCTCCTTCTGTACGTTGGATTCGGCCGTGTTGCCTGTTTTGGGATTCGTGCTGCTATTACTATTGCTTAGACGTTCCGAGTTTTTGAAAGCAACGGTTCAGGCCAAAGAGATTGGGTTCGTTGGGCAGAAGTTCAAACGGGTCGAAACTATTCTGGCAATGTGTGCGTTATCTTTGCTGACCGCCTCGTGCTCGCTACAGCTGCTGGTGGTCTGGACGAAATTGCGCAGCTCCACAACACCTATCCCTAACCCTCAGCGCCTCCTTCCCTGATCACGATACGCAGAACGACCAACACGTTACCCATTGAAACGAACAAACCCAAAAGTCTCTGCCGTGTGAAGTACGGACCAGACTGAATACTTACGTATGCTATGCAGCGCTCTCTACCCAGAAAACGTATAGGTGGTAGAAAAGAACGTTCTTTCATCATAGTCAACTTTGCCAGCGCCCCTGCTGCTACTTCTAATCTAACGGAAAAAGAACAGTGTCATTATGTAGAGATATTTACATTACGATAGCAGATCTTGCCTGTAGGTACAGCGGGCCACATCGGGCCACTTAATCTCCAAACTACAGAATCTTATTCCGTCAGTTAGAGCAAACGAAACATTTGTAAAGTAATATTGATGTGAGTACAGGCGTGGATTTTCCCCTTTGTTTAACATTTTTAGTCGAAAACGGCGTTTTTCAAAAATACAGTGAAACATTTTTGAAAGTATGCACATTTCAACTACTGACTTACCTAACCTCTTGAATGGCGTACTACTTGCTTGACATTTCGAGAGCTCAAATAGAGCGGCGGATGAACAGTGGCAGAGTGATATGTTAATTGCAACGGCAGGACAGATAACGAGAGGGCTGTAATGGAGCATCTAACTCAGGACAATTAAATATCGAAGCAAGCTGAATAAGCTAATATTTTTTTCTAAAATTTTACCCGCACGCTTTAGTTTGTCAAGAGGCACAATACAAACAACGCCTTTATCAATGAAGACATAATATAACGTGCTGTCTTTATTTTATCTTGCGATTTACAAATTCCCCTAATGTTAAATTAAATCCTGCGTAGCAGTTTGATTGAAACACACATTCGCACCATAACAAGACGTCATTTGTTCTCTAGCTATGCGTTGTCTTTTCAGATGTATGCTCTATGTTGCTCCAGGACAAACAAGACGTCGTTCCACAGCGATTAAGCACCATACGGCGTTGCGCGCTGTTAGTATCTAAATTCGGGTGATAAAGGGGCAAAAGGTGGTGGAAAAATGCTAAGTGCAGTAACGGCGAAAGCCCACAGCGAGACAGGGAATTCTGAATGGGCTTTTTTTCCGCATAACGAGCTAACTAGAAGGCATATAACAGCCTATTGTTTCATTCATTGGAAGCAGAAGAGGAGTAATACAGATTTAAATTATTTTTTCTAACTTTTTTTTTCATTCTTCTCAGCGCTTAGGCGATGTCTCCTACATATGTTGGATGCACACTCCTAAAAACAGTATAAACAAATATGGGTTGGACAAAAATAGCTGAATCCATTTCAGCCGGCCACGTGCATTAGATACGATTTGGCATTGTAGCTCGATCATAATGCTCACATTTAGGCCGGCTAGCAACTTGTCTGCACGATCAGTGATGGGGCCAAAGTCGATCCCCAATTCCTATACGTCGTGTTGTAGCCAAGTGCTATCTACAATGGGGCGCAATATGCAGCGGATCGAGACACGCATTGGTCATCACACACTGATTGTGCCGACAATTATGAAGCTGAAAATACAAAATGCCATGAACATCTTTTTTTTTTTGTGTTCAAGAACTTCAGCAACTAAGGCACTGTCCGTACGAAGAAGAGTTCGCAATCTTTAAACTGTCTTCTAAAATTTTCAAACAGACGGATACCTACATTGCAAAAGTTTAGTCAATGTGTAAAGCGTCTTAAGGCCCTGCATCCAGCAGCTGAGTATTCGTATATCATTAGAGTTTACAAAGAGAATGAAATTTGACAGCTCCCTTCCATTCGCCCGACGTATGAACGAGAATATGAGTGTGACATTTTAAAGGGATGGCGTTAACCGCAGGGGTGGACGGTAGCGGTGAAAGTGGCCAAAGCAGAAGTGCCGGAATTGGTGGACTCCAATGCGAAACCTTGGCACCGCTAGAGTTCCAAAATAGGGCGGGAGCATCAGATTTAATGGTATTTCTCAAACACAAAGAGTCGAGAGATTAGCAGCAGACTGCAAGGAGCTGAAAGGAGCAGCAGCGGAAAGATTGAGACGTCTCGTAGAACGGCGGCACTGGCGGGAGGCAAGACGCATGTTTCTCTTTCCTGGGGGCCGTAGTGATACTGCTACTGTCACGTCTCATGGAGCGGAAGCAGATATCGATGTCAATTGCTTTTTTCTACCGAGAGCTACAGGCCTTCACCCGCTAGACAGAGAGGCACGAACGAATATCCAATGCATACCAGACCGCAACGCACGCCTGGCCTTCCTCGACGACCACAGCCGCCATTGCTGTCGTCGTTCGCTTCGGTCTCGTCTTAACGCTACGCCTTTACTCTGGTGCCTTTTATCTGTTTGGGCGCACGGTACGGAGGCGTGCATCCAGCCGCTCAAACGCCCTAAGACCGCTACCTCTTAAAGTCGAACGCTAATCTCCTTCGCTCTTTCTGGCTTCCCGATCCATTATTGACGTTCCATCCCTCTCACTCTCAGCCTTATATGTCTGCTTCTCATGAGGTGGGACGGAACGACGAGAAAACGCGATCGTGAACGGACGTGAGATGGCCACCAACCCACGCAGGAGAACCAACAACAGCAGTGGCAAAAGCAGCAAGACAAGTAGTCGCATATTATGTTCTGACGACTCTGTCCCGGAAAGCAGCTGTAACTGTGGCTCATCCCGTAATTTCATCCTTTCGCTCTGTTAGCACTCTTCCTGTTAGTGAACCCGTTCGACCCGTCTTCGAGAAAATGCCTCTTCCATTCTCAGATCTGCCGAATGCCCGACAGCCGGCCGCGCTGCAGGTTTCTGCCATCCATTATCCCATCGATAGTACTCTATACGCTAAGCGCGCGGCCGCGCCGGAGAGCCTCAGGAAAATGCAAGCGAATAGAAAAGTGAGAGGGAAGCTATGGTAAAGGAACTTTCTTCTATAGCTGCTGCCGCTACTGCTAAGGTGGCGGACTACAAGCTAAAGGCACCTGCCACACAAACTGTTTGATATGAGGCAAGCAAGTTAGCGTTCACAAGCGAGCGTCCATGGTCGCATCTGAGGCGCTGAGCCATCCCGCTCTTCAGCGCGATGCCTCTCTCGCCGTCGGGAGCGATGACACTCGTGGTGGACAATGCTGTACGATGCAATAAAGAGTTTCAAACGACAATACCTATGTCGCAATTTCATCGAAAAACAGAATGTAAAATAGCAGCACGTCGAAGGAGCCAACGGCATCACTCATCTGGACCCGTGTATCGGGTAACTATTTCCATTATCACCAATGCTCACCCAATCTAACGTCTATGTCCGTTCGGTACTATCAGACAGGCATAAATATTTGTACGTTCGTACATATATGTGTTGTTCAATATATGTAGCATAGCCCTTAACGTCAATTTACGAATGTAGCGTCACTCACTGTCCGGGATTTGACAAGGGTTTTGAGGACTCTGGAAAGGGCAAGGTTCTGTGATCTTCTCGTTCTATTTAGCGGTGACGGTTCCGCACACTGACGCCGCTTCATCCCTGCTTGACTTGATTTACCCTATCATGATGTCTGTAATATTCGCCAGTATCGAACTGTTTGCTAGGTCGTTAGCCGCTGGCTTAAGCCACCCTCGTCTGTCGCGCAGCGCGAGGGTCGATGAGCTTATTGCAATCTGGTTGTTTCTTGTTGTAAAAGAAGAGTTGCAGTCGCTTCCAGTCGCCTCTGTAGTGACCTTCCGACAAAGATGGCGAAGGGTCTTTCTCAAAGTCGTTTGTCACATTCAATCGAGTTTCAGGCAGTTCTCAGAAGGTTTTTCGTAACTCCTCTCTCCCCTGTTATCTCTTTCTCAGAGTCGCGCTAGTCGCGCACACCGATATCTTTAGTCGACGCAGAAACAGCTGAGATCACGTTCGGCCTAAGGATCGATAAGTTTTTCATCTAGAAAAGCCTCACAGGACATCGTGAGCGATGAAATTGCCGCACACTACCGAAGGGAATACGAGCAGCCGATGTGGCGCGGAACATGTTGCTACTTGCTAAAATT